CTCAAATCTATTTATAAGAAACTAAACTAAGTATGTTAAGAAGGAATTATCCCCAAATATGAGCTATCATGAATAAGAAAGAAGAAAACACAATGTGTAATAATTCAAGGGTTGAACTTAATATTTTACTTTGATGAAACATACTAACAGACAACAATCATACATAGTGAGTATAAATAAAGATAGGAAAAACATAACTGATTAGAAGGGCTCATTAAATTGATGATCATGGTACCTCAAGTAACATCAGTAAGAAAAATCATACCAGTCACAAAGCTGCTCAGTGATGGTGCTAGAAACTGAGTTCCAACTTTCTCATTCCACAGGCCACTTTTGGTCCTACCCTCACAGGGCCCTGAGGCAGTCTGCCCCTGCTGGTTTAGGCCATCAGCTGTCCCTGGGACTGACACTGAGCTTACTATGGCTGCCTGGGGTGGGAGCTAAGCAGAGAGACCAGTTAGTACTTGCAGGACAGCAGAGCCATCTGAGTCTGCCAAGATCACACATCACCCCCTTGCCATCCAGCACCTGCCCAGCACCTGGAGTCCTGGTTCCCCAGCAATCACCCCACCAAAGGGTGTGGGGCTAACCAGGGAGCGGTGGCCACAGGCTCTCACAGCTGCCGGCCAGGAAGACCTTCTCCCCCACCCTGGGCTTTCACACACCTCCAGGCTGGCCCTCACCCGATCTCACTGAGCCACTCAGTGGAATGGAAACAGCCCTCAGATTCCTCCTCCCACTCCAAATCGTCTCACTGGGAACAGCTGCATCTCTTGAAGAGCTTTGACTTCCCAGGGTAAGGACAACAGGCAGCAAGCCCACAGGGCCTGCACTGAGAATGACGTGGGGACCCTGGGAGAGGAAAGAGGAAGGGGCTGGTGTCCTGGACTTCCTTCCTTAAGGGGAACCTCCTTCCCTCAATCTCACCCCAGCCCCAAGCTCTTCTCAGAGTTGGGTTCAAAGAGTCCCTGCCACAGAGTTGTACTCATTTCTAGTCCCCTATACACACCTCCCACTGGGATGTTTTTATTCTTTTTGTGTGTACAAAACCTTCCTAATAAAGCCCCAGGGGACAGAGTATTCCTAGTCTCCCC